GTGTGTGTGTGTGTTCTTCCTGTGTTGCAGGCTAACTTGGCTATTAACCCTGCGGCCTTGCTTCCTGGTGCAATGCCCAAAGTCTCCAGTGTGAAGCCTCCCTTGCCACTTTTGGAGACTCCACTGCATGAGCCCAGCAATGCACAGAACAGCGAAGCCTTCTGTGCCGCAGGAAACAATGAAGAACTCGGAGTGAGCTTTGATCAGCCTATGCAAGCAGATACCTTGCACAGTGCCAATAAGGTAGGAAGATACAAAGGGGATTAAATGTGATTTCCTCTGTCTTGGAGAAACTTGTGTTTTGGCATGCAAGTTCTTCTGGTGGTCTATCTGAATCTAAATGTAGGTGTGGAAATTCAGTGCAGGTTTGCACTGCAAAATTCTACAGAAGTAGAAGCACTGTAGAAACCACACAGTGGATACCTTTTGTGGCTCAGACTACACATTGTAATTTTGGCATGTTGTTGCTTCTTGAATTTTTCAGTTCTGAGCTTAAGCTGTAAATGTATGCAGGCAAACACTTTTTTTTCTTTATTTTTTCTTTGCAAAGATTGGATCAAAGCAACCCACTGAGCATTCTGTTTTGGCTTTCAAAGCACAATGCATCAATCGGGGAGTTGGGCTTGCAAGTATATGTCCCTTCCATCCTTGTTTTAGTGGCTTTTTGACATGCCTTGATTAATACATCCCCACATCCTGAAGGCAGATGTGCTGCTAAAATGATTGTGACAAAAGAGCATGGCTCCTCTAAGCTGAGTTGTCCACCTAGTTTGTCCTTCAATTGCAACACAGCAATTAGGGAAAGGGGAACAAAGATTGTACTGTCCTGTTTTCTGCCACACTGAATACACCTGCTCATGTAGGGTATAGTAGCAGCTATAATTAAAATTTGCAGGTGGGCTGCCCTAAAAGCATTCAAGGAACAAACTACAGCTGGCTACACACAAAATGAAATTAAATGGAAAATGTTATTAGACGTGACCTGGACAGAGTGTACTGCAGGAGCAGAAGCCCCTGGAATAGCATGTTGTCCAACTGAGGTATTGCCTAGAGCTCAGGGTATCAGGGCTTGTGACCTGTGTTGTTACTCTGTATGGAATTGATAGCTGTTGCTTTTGCACCCTGATTTCATCCACTGACCAGAAAGCATCAAATAGTTGCAAACTTCTCTCAGCTTTTCCTTTTCTGAAAAATGGGGGAAAAGGAGTGATGCTGAGATAACGATACACAGAGCCTCCTGCTTCCTCTGAAACTACATCAGTGTCTGCTCAGCTTTACTTGCTCAGCATTGCCAGCTGAGCTCTCATACATGTAACTGTTCAAACTAATTGAACCCAAAGCTATGAGTGGATCTTGAAGTTAATCCAGTTTCCATCATGCTACTATGAAAGGGGTAACACATGCTAACTTGAAGTGTTAAAAGAGAACATAACATGAATCTTAACCTATCTTCTGCAAAGTCTGTTTTTTTCCCTGCATATAAGTGTTCTGCTTTCACTCCATGCTTGCAGACCAGGATCAAGGTTACAGGAAAACGGAGACCTCCTAGCAGAACAGCCCGCCGTCTGGCTGCCCAAGAGTCTGCTGAGAGTGAGGAGGTGGACAGTGCTAAGGAACTGCAGTCCTCACTACCAAAGCAGAGATCAGTAGTGACCACAAAAGAGCCCCTTCCTACTGAACAAGAGTCCAAGGAAAACGGCTTTCTCGCTGTCTCTCCGCCAGCTCATGGCAGCACTGTCTCTGTTGGGACAGATAAACTCCTTTCTTCAGAATCCACGGACCAAGGGGATGATCTGTTTGAATCAGAAGACCTTTTTGCAAACAGCTCAACATCTAGACCAGCTGTGCAATCAAAGGCACGAGAGGGAATGGCAGAGAGCTTAGCTAAAAAAAAATTTAAGGATAGGGAGGAAAAAACCATTCTGGATGATCAGGACAGTGGTGATCTCTTCCAGTCTGTACAACACACATCTCTGAAGAAAAATAGTCCAGTTTCATTTTTGGAGGAGGAGGAAGATCCTCTCTTTACCTATCAGAAAACTGGAAAGAAGGAGCTGAAACCTGAAAGTGTTGACCCTACTGCCCAAGATATCTTTGAGGTAATGTTTGAGGTTTGCTAGAAGCAGTTAAGGGAAAAGCCTTCCTTGACCTTTTGATACCCAGAGTCTTATGCAGGACTTTCTACATAGGCACAGGCTGAATGGAGGCTGCTGAGTAGGGTGGGTGTATAGGATGGGCCTTGAAGGTAAAATAGACACACACGGCTGCTAGGCAGTAGAAACACTTTCCTTGAATGTTCACCACTTTAATGGCAAGACTGATGTTAAAAAGTAGGGCATTAACACAGCAGACAAGTCAGTAGACTCCGTGACTATATATTTAATAGTAACATCTTTTTCAGACTAGAGAAGGACTTGGTTCTCTTCTGTTACCTGCCAGTCAATACACAGCAGAACAAATAGCACTTTTAAAAACAGGACTAAAGTTGGCAGACTCAGGAGTTGGTACAAGCCTCTCTGTGCTGTATTCAGTCTGTGCACAATCTCACAGTAAGGTGTCTGCTAGGCCTACCATGGATAGAAGGACTTGAAGTTCTTAGGTTTGTGATGCCCAGGCTGTCAGGTCTTCTAAACATCTCAGCTGCTACTTACAGCTGAGCTTGACTATTCTTTTTGAGCATGTTGTGTACTGATGGTCTCCTTATGCTTTGTTCTAAGGATGATATATTTGCTACTGAGGCAATTAAACCAACAAACAAAGTGAAAGAAAAAATGCCAGACACTAACCTGTTTGATGATAACATTGATATATTTGCGGATCTCACTGTAAAACCAAAAGAAAAGAAGACCAAGAAGAAAGTGGAACAAAAATCCATATTTGATGATGATATGGGTAAGTATTTAATATCTTGCTACTAACTTTATAATACTGGCCTAAGTTAAATTAATCAGAGATGTTGTACAACTCCTTGCTTTTTTTAATGCCTCAATTGTTCTGAAGTCTCTGGCCAACTTCAGTTTTAATCTCTGATGAGGACTTCCTAGGCTTGTAGAATGAGCTAAGCACTTAAATGCCTTATGAGAGACCATATAGAATTGTCCTGACCTCACTGTCCTGACTACTACATCAAGAAACATCTGGAACAATGTGTGTTTAGGGAGCAGTTAGAGACAGAACTCTCTAGTGCAAAGTGTCAGTACTATTTCCCATGGTCAAAATTCCTTCCTCTTCTTTAAGCCTTGTTATAAAATGGGAGGTTTTGTTGGTTTTGTTTTTTCTTCATAGTCCTTCTACATAATCTTTGAGTTAGCCTAAATTTAAAACCTAGGTGTACAGGAAGAGATAGTGAGGTGTGTGCATGAGAAACCTCCCTGGAGCACAGCTGTTCATAATTCCTAAACAAACTTCTCTGTGACCTCCAGTTGTTGCTTCATGGCAACAATTCAGCCTGTGGACAGTGGGAACTTTATTCTTTTTTGTGAGCACAGTTCCAAACATCACTGGCATCAGCCACAAAAAGAACTGCAAGCATCTGTGAGCTCTGCTGCTGGCAGATGTTATCTATGTTGGAGGGTTTCATCTCTCCTGTTGTTCTCCAAGAGAGAACTCTAGTTAAGTGTCAATAGCACCTTAAAATTTTTCTACTTTGTGGTCCTGGTTATTCATAGCAGAAGTGTCTGCACTGAGGAAGGCATTCTTGATTCAGGACTACAGAAGACTTTATGAATACTCTGTGGGATGTCAGTCATAGCTGTCTGCCTCTTTGTGCCTTAGCTGTGCCCTATTCTCAGGTGACTTTTTATTGTGCTATAGGTTAGACTTTCTTATGAGTAGCAGATGTCACAACAGTATTCGCTAGCAAGTACTATGCGCTTTTCTCCTGATTTACTTTGACACCAATCTCAGCAGGTCTTCAATCTTTCAAGTTCCTCGAACACTGTTGTTCCAGATCAGAGCGATCTGGAACTTGCAAAGTGGAATTCATTGTACACAGTTAGCTTATTTATGCTTATCAGATGCTTGGATATATTATAAAATATAAAGTATTCTGTTCAACTAAAAAGAAAATATATTTTTGATTTGACTTACAGTTACCAGCTCCCACGCATGTTCTTACAAATGCATCTAGAATCACAAGCAGCAGGAGAACATTTGCTTATCATAGAATGTCTTTGGCGATTGCTGCTGTGTGTTGGAGATTTCTCCGTGCAATGTTATTTCTGTTTGGTAATCACTTCCCTTTGATAGCCATATTTTTTTTCTTTTTTTTTTTTTTTCTTTCCTAGATGATATCTTCTCTAGCAGTGCTGTAAAGATACCCACTCCCAGAAGTCGATCTTCTCAGGCAGCCTCGGACATGAAAGCTGAAAGCAAGGCCCTGAGCACGTTTGATGACCCACTGAATGCCTTTGGAGGCCAGTAGCCACGCTGGGGTAGGGGGTGTCGGAGAAGGAGGCCTTCTTTATGTCTTGTCCAGTACTAATACTCTGGATTATCTAATACAATAGAGCTTAAATGAGATGGCTGTGGTTATTTAAGTGACAGGCTACCTATTTTACATGGTTAGTATCTTCTTGTACTGGGTCTAATTGTGCTTAATATATAAATATATTTTTTAAAAAAACAAACCTCCAACAGTAAACTCCTGCTCTCCTGTTTCTATGGTGCCCAGATGAATATAACCTGTGCAATACCTGCAATGAAGTAATCTATTATACAAAGTATAGTTTGTTTTATTGAACAGATCTACAAAGAGAATCACTGATATTGCTAAATAGTAAATGGAATCTGTTTAAACCAGGTCCGGCTGTATGTCTTGCTTTCTTTACCACTTGCTAAGAACATCTGCATCATGACTTGAAAACACTGTTAGAATGTGTCAGGGTGACCTCTCAGTCTTTATGCTAGTGTTATTTTAAGACTGAGCTCTGCTATCAGGGATTGTTCTTATGTCATAAAGTAGTTATGTGTTTTGTATTGGCAACTAGTGCAGTCCGTGAAACAACAATGGCTAGTACTTCTCTGCCCAAAAAAGTATGGCAGATCACCTAATACTACTACATCAAGATGACAGAAATCTGGAATTGTCTTCTGTTCAAGTTGCACCAAAAATGTGTACAGTGTTTTCCGAATGGTCTATCAGTACTGGGAATTTTTGGTCATTTCCTGGATGACAAGACTATGGGCATATCTTAATGCAGAGACTGTTTTGTGCCTGGGCTTGGTTCACCTCTTGCTGTCTATTTTCCTTTCTCATCTGTTACAGTTTTATCATAGGCTGTTAACAGGAGGACATTATTTTGTGGAATCTCATTAACCAGGTAGTGTGCTTGGTTTAACTGTTGCTTCTCTTGTTTTCTAGATTGCCCCTGGTGAATTTTGTCCTTAAACGTACTTCATGTCCAGCGGAAAGCACTTACCTTCATGCATAGAAGCAGAGTGAATGTATAGGTAGAAAAGGATCAAATGTTGCTTTTATCTTACCAGTAGCTGCCTGTAATCCTGTCTTTAAAACAAGGCTGTTTTTATGGCAACAATGATCGTTTGATTCAAAATGCTGCTTGTTCCACTTTCACAGCATCTGCTTTAAATTCTCAGAAGGCCTCTTTGAGAGCACTATCTCTGTTGCCTAGGTCATTTTTCTGAGATACCTGCTTCAGTCTTTCCTGCCTCTGGAGTTGGCTTTACTTTATCAGGCATGCTAAATGCTGCAGGTTAAGCATTTAGCAATATTTAGGATAAAGCAGAGGGGAAGGTTGGAAGTAAAGAAGCACGTATTAATTTGCACCTTAGGTGGGCCTGGCACTGATTCACGTTGGGCATTGGGGGAGGTGGGAGGGGAAGGTGAGTGAAGAACAGCAGCTTGGAGAGGAATGTGGGAGATCCCTTTGTAAACGGGTGTCTATGGTGAGAACTCTTCCACTTTATTTATAGCCTTTACATCTGCTGCTTATGTCTCATACATGACTTGTACTATCTCTCTACTCCCTTCTTCTGTACTTAAAAATTCTTCAGTGACATTTTCCAGGGTAGGGGTGAGAAAAGAGATAGTGAATTCTCCCTTTTTTCCCCTCTGTCCTCCTTTTCAGCCTTCCACATTAATAAATTGTATTAGCACTGCAGAGCGTGCCAGTCACAAGCCAAGAACCCTGAGGGCCAGGAGCTGCTGCAGTAGAAAGTTTCTGTCTTTTGAAAGAGTTCCTTAAACTTTCATGTGAAAGCTCAGTAGAGAAAAGGCCTTGATTAAAAACTTGCAGTATATCATAGATCAAACCCTTTCCTTTTCTCTAGCTCCCCCAATCTTTCGTGGCATATGTTAAAGTTGCCATACTAAAATGTGTGGTCCTCCATTAACTCCTCTTAACAGATAGTCAATCTTGATATAGGCCCTTCAGTTTGCGGTGTGTGTGTGTCTTTGTTGGTGGTGGTGGTGTATTTTTTGTTTGTTTGTTTTTGCTTTAGTAGTGTTTGACTGAATTTTTGACCTGAAACTTTTTTTTTTCAAACTTTTCTGTGTGAGCATGAAGCCCAGCAGTTAGTGAAATTGTCATTCTTGCAGAATTTAAGATCTAAATTGAAAAGTAAAGCAGTGGGTTTAATTAGCACCTTTTAATAAATTACACTTATTTTATTTGATAGTTTAGCAGAAGAACAATCTCCTGACCATTATTGTGCTGAGAAAGTATTGCTGTTGCTTACTAAAAATGAACCTTATCATATCATGTTAATTAGGAGTAGAGTTAAATATTGATGCTGAGTAAGATTAGAGCACTATTTCCTGTTGTGAGCTGCTTGGTTTCAGCAGGTTGTTCATTCTGTACCCCTGTTTGAGTCCTGAATGAGGAGGTTCTGTAGAAGTATTTAAAGGGTGGGAGAAACTATTATTCTGCTTTTAATAATGTGTAGCGTGTATTGGCATTGCTCTGAAGTCATAGCTATGCCACGTTAGTGCCTGCAGCATTCTTCATGCACCCCAGCAAGCAGTGAGAAAGGAAACCCTCCCCAGGCAACAGAGGGGTCATCATTTTGCCTTGAGAGAGTTTTGCTGCCATTTTGAGTGTTTTCCATCAAGCTGGGGCTACGTGCTGCAAGGGCAGCTTTGGTTCATGACCAGCCTCTTCCCGCCAGGCTGAGTAGCTGCTGCTTTTCCTAGTGTCTTTCCCGGCTGAGGATTTACGGTAAAGTGTTTTAGAATGACAGGTCTATGAGGGTGTGTTTTTTTTTTTTTCTTTCTCTCTTCATCTTCAGCAATGTATCGCTGTTCCTAGGACCGAAAGAACGTGCTTTATATATTTTGGCTTGCATTAAAGGGTGCCTCCGCGTTTTTAACGGGAGCCCCGTCCCGTGCTGTGCGCGGTGGCGCCGCCCCCTGCCCTTCCTAGTCCTCCCCATCTTTTGAGCCTCACCCCGCCGAGACTACATCTCC